CACTTTAATCCTGGTTTCACTTAGTAATAAATATCTAAATTGCATTGGAGAAAGCATTCAAATTTTATTTGAATACAGAAGTCTTCTAGGCATCTCCAATTATCTTTTGCCAAATCCACTTTATCTGTGATTAGTATGAAAGGGTGAATGTTTTTGTCAGGAGCTTATAGCTTTGCTTTTGTAATAGGCTGCATTTTAAGTAGCCAATTGGATTGGTGTTGGCCTTTGAAAAATGTAAAATGCTTTGAAGGAAGACTTAAATAGACCAATAAAGATTGTACGAGCACACACGTTTAATCTCAGGACTCTCTGCATTATAGTTCAAGCTCTGGGAAACTGGAGGAATTGCACTGGAGAATAATCAAAGGGTACAGCTTTATTACTTGTCTGCTCTGAAAATGGGCTGTTTCCTCTGGCTTAAGACACTGGGTGCTCTAGATTTTCTGATAAAAGAAAGAACACAGCACTTCAGATACTATGTATTGTAAATTTTAGGGATGTGCAGCTGTGAAGTTGATGGCTCATCTGATTACAGAAGTAACACAGGATGCATGCAATGCTTTTCTCGTGGTCCCCCCAGATAATTCTGAAGTAACTTGGGATGACAAAGGTCTCCCTGAAGGATGAATCCTCCCTTAAAATTATTTTTAATCGGAGTCATAAATTGACACAGGAAGTGATGGGAAAGATCAGTTTGTCAGCTTTGTGTTCAGAAAACTTAATCCACGTAACTTTTAAGAACAAAAATAAATTGATGCTTTAAACAATGGTATCACATCCCAGGGATTGTTTTTCTTACTACCTTTCTTTCTTGAACGATTCATGAATCTCCCCATTTGCTCATTTATGAGGCCATAAAAGGACAAAGTGCTAGATGTATGTTTCATATTCACATGCTGTCCAGCTGCAGTGAGTACATTTTTTCTAAATACTTGTGTGATTGCACACTGCATTATTTTCTTCTGATTGTATCGGGGGGATCCGAAATACCAAATATGCTGATAATGAACGGGGAGGGACGGATTAAATCAATTAGTTACTTTTATTCCTGCTTGCCATTCTTGTATTTCTTTTTTTATGAATCTTGTTTTCATTGTCTGTTCTGTTTTCATTGTTTTTGAGAATGTGAATTGAATTGGCACAGGCTCTGATGGTGTTGTGAGGGTTTGTCTCCTTTATCTTTTCCTTTCTTTTTCCCATTAATCAAATAGCATTATTTCCTGCAGTCTCCTCTATGGAACATAATCATTTCCAAGCAGCACGAAGATTATTATAGGTTTTCAACTAATTATGAGATTTTTAGCCTTTAAAAGGAGGTGGAAGTGGCTGGTTAATAGTTGGGAAAGCTCTGGCTTTCCATGTTAATGCCAGTCTTTCTTTAAGTGCTTCATCTTCCTTTATTCAGTTTTGATTAGAATTATTTGTGTGACACATACATACACATGTACCCTGTTCCCACCTGCACAAGGAGGGTCCTGAGTTCCTCTTAGGATGATTAAAGAAAGGTCAATTTCCTTGCCCTTATTACCTCATCAATTACTTAGCGTACTGTAGTATTAGTACAAGATTATCTTTTAAAAAGCCTCATCTCCAGCCTTGAGAGCCTCATTTCATTCACAGAAACACAAGAGAATCTTGTCCTTTTCTTTGCTATTATTTAACTGGGGTTTATTTGGGCATTTTACTTGTTTTGTGGATGAGCGTTTGTAAAGTAGGCGATAAAGTCACTGTAAGAATAATGAAAGGCTGAATGAATCTTTTGTTTATTAAAGCCTTCTAAAAGTTTGTCTCATGAGAAGCAATTAGTAAGTGTTAGCAGTTGCTGTGGATTAGCAGTAGCCCGGGCCAACAACTGACAAACAGTCCAGATAGAAATTAGAAAGCCAACGATTACAAGCTGAAATTCTCTTCCTATCCCCAAAAAGCAACATCAAGAAGGAAAGCCCATAACCTCAGCAAAATCAGAGGAAAAAAAGCATGCTTTTAGTATTGGATCTCAAGACGTACTGATTCTTGTAGCTTTGGCAAAGCTCATTTACTGATCTTAATGGCTGGAGTGTGTTTCAAAGGAATTAACTTTCTGTCCCTCCGTATGTGTGTGCACGCTTTAAAAACATGTTGGTTATCATCAGTTCCCTGCCTCAGCACTGCTGCTGTCAGACCCCATGGTTTTTTACATTGCTTCTAGAGGCATCACCTGCCTTCCTCAGCTGTGAGCATGTGGAGCTGTAATGTCTTTTCTCTATCAATGTCTGCTCTGCTGAAACGCCGTAAAGCATCATTACCGTAAGCTCAGTAAATACAGAGCTGTGCTAGGCTCATGGAAGGAAGAACCTGGGGGAGTTGTTCAGGTCTGTGGCATCTTCTAAATTCTTGTAAGGGGTATTTTGAGACATAAAGGAAGTATTTAGGTGGATATAACTCTTTTAATGATAGAAGAGGAATCAGTCACTCCAAAAGTACTGCCTCCTATTTCTTTCCATGGGAAATACAGTGGATACAAAGAGCGCAATAGCACTGTTTGGTAGAGCAAATTTTCAGCTACAAAACACTCTTTTTCAGCAGTCAGCACCATTAGATACGCGTTTTTGCCTGTGATGAACAAGAGCTGTGCTCATAAAAATATCTGTACCAGTGGAGGTGGCCCACTGTTGCTGCTACCAGTGCTAAAACGCACCACTCACTGTGCTCACATCCACTGTTTGGTCTCCATAAATGTTCAGAAAGCATTAATGAATGTCAGTGGCTGCCGTTGGGTGCCATTTTTTCTGCACAGAGGAATTCAATTCACCTTTGCTCCATACGCACCTCTGTGTCAGCCTCCATTCTGTCAGACTGCCCTTCTGGTGCCATCTGTCACATGTCAACAAGATGGAATATTGGTTGGAAGATTCATCCTCTGCTGCCATACCACCAGCATCGACCTCTGGTGTTGTGGGCTGACATAATGGAATAGGAAGCATTACTTTCGGAGCAGTCCGTGTGCTTTCTTAATCTTTCAGGCCAGACCAAATGACTAAAACTTACTGCTGCATTAGGGAAATCAATGAAAGCAGTGGTCGTGGGGATCTTCTGTTTAGATCAGTGGAGCAGTCTTGCCCTAGCTTTCTGCCATACTCAGATAACTGTCCTGAATACTTCAAGTGGCTTCTCTTAAGTTATACACATGGTAACCTGTGGAAATATTTCACATTTTATTGTTTCTTGTGGAATAAAAAATACCAAATGGCACTGATAGAGTGACACTCATCTTAAAGTATTTAAATTTGAACTTTCTCCTCTGTGGCTCTTCAACTGACATGAAATATTAGAACTTGTACGTTGCAGTTTGTTAAAAAATGTAAATTTATGTTCAGAATTGTTTGTCAGTCTCTCAGAAAATTGAAAGTAATTAAATAGAAAGTTCTACAGATTTGTGCCATCTCTGTACCCTCTCATCTCAAGATGGTGTGAGAAGCAGACAATTGTAATAACTTGCTGCTACTCCTTTCCAGCTTAATTTGATCTTGTTCCTTAATTCTGACAGATTGTTTTTAATTTTCCCATCTGTTCCATAAAAATCTCAAGTGATTGACTCTTAGGAAAAAAGTAATGTCTAATAGCTGAGCCACTTTTAATGAGTTGGTACGATTTATTTAATGAGACGTGCTGAAGAAGGAAAGCCAAAGGAAAAATTGGGCCTGGGGTGATGGGAGTGAAGAAAGGGAAAGGACAACTGCATTCTTCAGAAGTCCCCACTACTCCCTTTCCCCTTAGCTCTGGACTGCTGCTGTTACTTCTTTCAGGCAATTTGTTCTGTCTTGGAATTACAGTCAGCTGTATGTATATATATGTATTCAACAGAAGTAATACCTTTTTGCTTGTTGCTCAGTATTTGCTTCCAAGAGCTCCAAAGGCTAAAATCACTGCTTAAAAATTGCCTACAAATGGCATCTCACCATCAATGTGCAGTACTGATCTTTAAGAATAACAAGTGTGAATATAAATGCTCGCATCTGGACTTCCCTCTTCTGTTTGCTCTTTAAATATTATTATAATAAGGTTTAACATATATTCTTAATAATCATCAAATAGCAGTTACTCTGTCATCTCTACTTGGTTATAAAATCAAATAATGAAAATAAATGCACAGCTCTTTTACAGGGAAAGTTGAAAGTTTGACTAAATGCTGCATATCTGCCATTGCAGTACAACCTTTGTAGACTTCATAGAATAATGAATTAAATTTCCAATTGCACATAGTGGGGCATAACAAATGGGAGAGTGCTGCTATGGGAAGAAGCACAACATGCACTTGTTCTGCAGGTCTTGATGGGCTACCAACTTTTTTAACTAGTAAAGTGTAGGAGTAACTTGACTGGAGATCAGAGCAGGGAGGATCAATTCTCCACACTTTCTGAGCATCTTGGAATCAGTTTCCCAGTGGCAGGGATTTCAAACAGCCAGGAGGACAGGGGAAAGGTTAAAATCTGACTTTTGAACCATAGGATGTTGAAGCGGTTAAAAGCACTCCAGATTTAAGTCTGGACAGAGTTGGTGGTGTCTTTTTCTAAGGCCCAGCTGAGCAAATGGCCGCAGATCAGATATCTTCTGTGCTTATACAGAAGTCTGGTTTCAGGGCTGGACGGTGCTTACAAATTAGAGTATTCTAATATGAGCCTTATAGGAGGGAATAAAATGGTTTTGGTTTTGTGGAATTTTTGACTTGCTGCTATCAAATAGATGTTTTACTAGGTTGGGTCTTGTTGTTGGGAAGAAGGAATCGATTGGCAGATTGCTTTATCTGCACGACGGAAGGCAAAAGTGACTTAATTTGGGCTTTGGGAACATGACCCATTATCTGTGCCTCTTGATGGATCTTTGTCAAGGATCTTGTATTGTGGTTTAATAATTCTTCTATGTATTTATGTAGCTAGAATGAAATTCACAAGATGTAAGTTTATAGTGCTGCACGTATCCTTCATAAAGCATTGATCCTGTGTTTTTTATCTTCTCCCTAGCGTGTCGATCCTGATCTTCAATACTTCTCGGCAGTGCTTTGTAGTGGTGAAGCAGTTCCGCCCAGGTAATCCTCTTTTTTTAGATTCACTTTTGCTCTCTAGCGAAGCAAGCTTTTAAGGATTTAGCAGTTAAAAGTTGGTGCATCTGTGGTGATAAAATCTTTGTTCTATATTCCGTTCTTTGTGCAGCAGCCCACCCTTTTCAGCAAGTTGGAATTTCTAACCAAGGAAATTTCCATTACAGATGAAACGAATGATGAGGGTAGCCTCACACCCTGCTTTTGGGAATGCCTTTGTCCTCTTGTGGGGACGTTTCAAACAGCTCGTGCAATGAGTTACTCTTATTTGAAGCTGATTCTTGACCTACCTAGCTGCCAGCTTTTGTTTAGAATTGCAATGGTCCTTATTTTTTTTTAAAGTAGCTTGTGTTTTTTTATGTGTTATACACTTGGAAACTGAAAATATGAGAAAATCAGCTTCATCCATACAATGACAGTTTCATGTAATGGGACATTATTAGGAATATAAGTTAATATACTGTATTTTCTGGCTTTTGAATCAGTTATTTTTATGCAAAGCAATATTTAGTTTTTGGAAGTTAAAAATGAAATGCATATTGTCTGAATCTTAAATTAAAAAATTCACAAGATATTTCACTGACTGTTGCTAAGAAACCATTTGAAGATTGTTTGTGATAGACTTCATTGGAAACTTTCTGGGGTGGTGTCATGCTGTCCTTACTTACCAGCAGTGATTGACAGGCTCAGTTTTGTGCCACACTGTTGTAATAATAGTGTTTATTTCTCAGGAAGCACTATATTGATTATTATAAGGAATTCGTTTATCTGTTTGTTAGTAGTTCAGTGCCTTTTATTTGCCAGCTGTGTAAAATCACTCACGTAGCTGTTGCTCTCTTTGAGGCAATCTTAAGCAGAAGCTGGCATAGATATATGCTTAGTAATGTCCATTGTATCATCTCCATGGGGATGTCAAACCTGGCCTTGGGGGCCAGTGATCAGTTCAACACCTTGTAGCAGCTCAGTCAATGCAACCATGTCCCCCTGTTACTCACAGCACTGTAATTTTATTTCCATCAGCTGGTTACTGTCTGCGTTGATGCCTGTTTCTCCGAGCAGAAATTAAAGCGAAGGCTTCTCATTGCCTCTCTCAGGATCCCACGGAAGATGATAATACAGCTTTCTTCTTGCAAGCAAACAGCTGCAGCTCAGGCAGCAGGCTCGTCCCCTGCATGTGTGGTGGATGACATATGTGCTTGCCTTGCCTTGGGGTGTGGTGTGCTGATCAGGTTTTCCCATTTAAGTCCGTGCTGTTTCCGAAGGCAGTTGTCCATCTTTGTACATACATCCCCACCACATTTCCTTATGCAGCATTAGCAGAGGTCTGATGCGGCTGCAAACAGATCATTTTGCAACCTACTTTAGGGAACCTGCTTTTAGCAGGGGGTTGGACTTGATGATTCACATAGGTCCCTTTTCAACCCCTGCAATTCTGTGATTTTGACGGTTAAGCAGCTTATCTGACTGGCCTGTGAGAGGTCAAGGATGGAGGAAGCTTCATGATGGTAATGAAATGGCTGTTTCTGACCAAAGTAATGTAAGCCATCAGAAGATGAGGAAGCAATAGGACACAGCACCAGTGAGTGAGTGACTGCTGGAAGAGGAACTCTGTATTCTAGTTTCTGCCCTCTGAACTCTTCATGCCTCTGCAGTAAGCAAACAGCCTGCAGTGAGGAAGAGGAATGTCTCAGGCTTCCATCCAAAGAGTGCACCTAAGCCAGTAGACCACAGGCTGATGTTTGATCTGTTACCTTAGGACCTTGGGTGCATCACTTGTGCAGTCAGTTCTCCACCTTCAAGAGAAGCCTGAGGGACTCTGGTCCCTGGTACTATGGCATCTTGATCTTCTAGGCTTTGCTTCTGTATGAGAGAGAAATTCAGTCCAAACCTTTCCAAGCCTGGTGGTAGTGAGTCCATGCTTGATTGAATACTGATTTTTGGACTCTTTAAAGAAGTGATTAGTACAGCTTGTTTTCTTCCTTATTGACAGAGAAAAGCTGCTAGTGTGCTAGCATGTTGGCATATCCCAGAGTTTTTCTCTGAAGAGGACTGCTGGATTGGGTCCTTCTAGGAATATAACTTTGATCTACATGGAGCCCAGTTGTGCTGGGGGAGAAGGAGGATGGCAGGTGCCTGCTGGAATGACAGAAGGGGTTTCAGGGATTCAGCAGCCTTACAACAGAGAGTTACTGTAATCACAGTTTCATATTTCCATTCCCACACTCTCACCTATATCCTGGTTTGGTGCCTAAGCCTTTTATTGGAATGTATGCTTTGCTCCATTTTGTGTGTACTGATAAGGATACGTCCATACTGACAAAGCAACACTAGCTTAAAAGTACTGGGTTCATCTCAGAGAGATCCTGAAAGTAGTTGTCATTTTTATGGTAATTCATAGCTTTTAAAAGTTTGTGTATTAACAACAGTAAGCAGCCTTCAAGGATTTTGTTTCCTCCTCCTTACTGCGTTTTAAGAAGAAAACAGCTCTACTTGTGTCTATCAACTTAAAAAAATGAAGGCTGCTTTTCCTTAAATGTTTGTATCTCAAGGCCCTAAATGTACCTACTACAGACTGCTTTGGGTATCTTGAGCTCTGGACAAAGATGAATTTTGGGCACACTTCTGCACCTCATGTTTCTGTCCAGACTGATCTGAACAACACCCACAAAGACCTGATCTCTTGTACAACCCTTCTGAGTTGTCACAAGAAGCCTGGTGGAATTTCAGGCACCAATTTCTGGGGTTTAGAAAGTGCTTGAAAAGTTGTTGCTGTGGTACCTAAGTGATAAGGATCTGGATTTGTAAACAATGATTTTTTGTGTTTACATCCATTCCTGCACTTTTCACTTGGGCAGAATTTCAGTTGACATCGGTGAGAGGTTTTGCTTAAATAAGGACTAAAATCTGGCACTTTCTTTAGGAGTGCATTACAGTGGCAGCTGTTTGTAGATTAATTCAAGAAGTCTTTTTCAAACTCTGCACAGGAATCTGTGCAAGGAACTATATGTTCAAAAGGAGATTTTTTTTTTCCAAACAAACATACATGCTTTTCATACCCTTTCTGAATAACAGCTGAGTTGACAGGCTGAAAGACTCATCATTGTGCACATGGTACATTATGTGCAACCCAACTTTCCTGCAAAATGACTGTGGCTTTAAATTAAATCCTGATAGCCACATTGCTTAACGAAGGGAAGCTGTTAGGAGCTTCTGGGGTGTAGACTTCTTGGATGAGCTAGATTTCCTTTTTAATGTGCATGGCCTCATCCCAAATGATAAAGGCACAAATAGAGCTCAAAGAATAAATTTACAGAAGTTGGAGGAGATCCTTTGCTCTCTAAAGTTGTATTTTCTCTGTGTCATTATTTTAATAGCTAGCACACCAAATACTTGCTGCTTTCACATGCTCTCATGATAACTTTCTGCCCCAAATTTGAGTAGTCTGCATGTTTTGTCCTTTGAATACAAATAAACTCAAAGAACCCTCTTGTTTCTTTTCCTTATGTATTTGTTTGTTTTAAGCTGTTTACATGTGTGAAGTAGAAAGGCAACATCCTCAGCTCTTCCAGAAGCAGGACAAGGAGAGTTTCTCTCGCCTGGAGGATCCCTTACCTGCAGTGGTAGGAGTGACTTATGAACTCTGTGCTGGCATCGTAGACAAGCCACAGCTTTCTTTAGAAGAAATTGCCTGTGAGGAGATCTTAGAAGAATGTGGCTATCGTGTTCCTGTTACAAACCTGAAGAAGATCACTTCCTACAGGTAAAGAGCAGCAAGTAAAGCACCATGTTTTCTTGTGTCACCGATTTCTGAAGTAGCTTAAGTGTGAATTAATGCTCCCTGTTCCCATATGTAAGCAATGTGTTGGAACGGTTAATGAGCTTCTAAGAGCAGTTTGCTACACTGCTTTACTGGGTCAGTCTTTTTCCACTTCTGCTTCTTACTATTCTGATACAAGCTGCACACAGTGGGCTCTGATTTTCTATTCTTGTGACTTTGTGGAAGCATGAGAACTTTTGCCATTATATTTAGGGCATAATTAATGCATCTTTGAATGGAATGATAATTAATGTCATCTGTGAAGATTTTGATGATTTAATGGTGAAGGTTTTTACATGTCATTTGTTGCAGCGTTTTAAATGACATTGAAATAGATTCTAATGTGTAAGAAGAAAATAATATTTAAGAAGAAAAATAGAAAATGTGAGTTGTTTCAAGAAAAAGAAAAGAAAAACTCAGGGGAAACTCTGCTCTAATCCCATTGTATCTCCTTCCCAGCATTTGGTATCCAACATGTATGTATGTTTGTATTTTACAGAGAATGCTGCGAGTTTTTTCTTTTCTTCATTTTGCTTGACATCTCCATTGAACCAGGCCTTGTCGTTGGTTTTTAATTTGGGAATTGAATACAAATCCACAGCTGTCAATCCTGGCAAATGTTATTTCCTGCTGGATTAAGAAGCAGTGCTTCTGTTGAGGGGAGGGGTTGAATCACAGGAGCTGCCTCCTACAGCTCCTTGACACTAAACCAAGGGATGTTCTGCTGGAAGAAACAGTGCCTTCCAGATTGATGAGAAAAAACTGTCCTACTGCATTTCCTACACTGGGTTACACTGATGGGCTGTACCATACTGCTGTGTACACCTGTATGCACACCCACAAACTAGAAAGAGTAGAGTATAATTTCTGTAGTTGTCAGTGTAGAAGTTTGTCTCAGTAACTATTCTCATCCCACTAAAATGGTGTATATTTTTGGTTGTTAAATGTCTTTTTCATTTACATGTTGTTGTGAGGTTTTTCTGTTTGTTTTTAATTGCAGTCTGACTTGCAAAGAGAATATGCAATGGGAGTTTTCTGTGTTGAGACTAAGCAAAGCATGCTTGCTAACTGTGTTAATTCCCCAGCCTTGCTTTGTGTATGTGGACACAGCTTTCTGCCCATGGAGATCCATGCTGGAGTCAAAAGATCCTGTATAGTACTGACTTTTTCAGATTCATATAAAAGGCCGAAGCATCTAAGATGATATTTTTACAGTTTCTTTGTTCAACTTACTGTGTTGTGTATTAAAATTTGATTCTAAATGTTACGATCTTGCTGTTGGCAGCGTCCTGTTACTTTTCCTTTAGCCAGGCTGGTGTGTCTCTTTGATCCTTAAGCATTTGATGCAAAGACAAGAAATAATTGGTCCCTCTAGGCTCTGCTAAGGACATTTTTTTTCTATAATAGCTATGTTATGTACTAGAATTTCAGGGCTTTTTCTAAGTGCAACAGATTTTTCCAAATGCTTTATGCTGTTTTGTGCTGCAACCATCAACATAAAGAGATTAACATAAGTGTTACATGAATGTACATGCATGCCATTAATGGTTGTGTCATACAATTCTTTTATTATTTGTCATCCCAACGATCCATGTAATAGATGCTCTGTATTATTAATTGATCCATTGCAGCAGTTCAGAGAGAAGCCTTGACAAATGGAATCGGAAGGAATTTGGGGAGGATCTCCTGTTCCAGAGAAGAGGCTCAGCTGGATTTATGTCATTTCTAACAAGCATGCATCTGTGCTTTCTCTAAAATGACATCATTTCACAGCCTTTCCAAGCATTCAGTCTGAAGTGTCCTTACTATAAGCAAGGTTTTCCTGATATCTGGTCTCATTTTCCTGTTCTTCATTTCCAGGCTGTGATTTATTACCCTCTTCCCAGCAGACCTGACGTACATCTGTACCTACTGTGTATTTGCTTGAACATGTCTCCTCTTGATTTTATTTTTGTCTATGCAAAGCTGTCTTCATTGATTTTACCTTTCTCTTCAGACAATGCTTTCTCAGTGTCTGATCATTCTTTCTGTTGTCCTCTGCCTTCTTTCCATCCGTTCTGCATCTTTGTTAAGTGGAGCCTGAAGTGGAGCACAGTACTTGAATGTGAAAGTCTTAAAACAAAATATTGAACTATGTTAATCGAAGTACCAGCAGAATCCTGTTTGGTGTACCTTTAATTTGACAGTGGTGTTCACTTCGTGAGTGCCATGTTCATACTGGTTTTGCACCAAATTCAGTTTCTTCAGTTTCCTACTGCGTTGTGATTTCCAGATTTCTTACTAAACTGGTCATATTAGTGAAGTTTTAATGAATTGAAGTTACATTGGTTTTGCTGCTGTTCCTGTTCACCAGTCCTATTATCCTGTTACAGCTGAAATCGTTTGTATGTGACACATTCTTCACAAATCTGTTAGCTGTTGGCTCTTTCCTTGATGCAAGCATTAAAAATATTTATAGAAATATAATTCAGAATTACTAAGCCTGCTATATGTTTGTAGATGAAAGCTCAGAATTCCATGCACAGTGAGAGGGCTTTCACACAAGCAAGGACTTATGTGATCCATCCTTTGGTCTGAAAGGAAGGAGTTGTCTTGTATGCTTCGTGTCACCTGATATCATGGTAATGAGAATGAAATTGCCTAACTTGAATAAAGGCACATCTGACAGAAGAATATGGAGAGCAGAAGATGCAACAAATGTAAAGGGAGAAGCAGTTTTTGCTAGAGAGATAAACACAGTTCTGTGGATTGAGAAGGGGAGGGACATGGACAGTATGTGGTGAGAACTCAGAGTAGGGGTTGAAATGGAATAGAAGTAGGCTCATTTCACCATTACAGCAAGTTTGTTTTCTGTTCCATCAGCAGCTAATCCACTCTTGCAGGCTCCATTTTCCATCCTGAATGTTTTGACACGTAGTAGTGTGCTGAGTTCTAGGCAGCTGTGTGTATGGCCTCAGTCGAAAATGGCATGGATGCAATGGTTACACCCATTGGAACCATTTAGACCAACAGCAAAATGAAGATCAGCAGTGGGATTGAAAATTGGGGCTTCTTGAAAACCGTTGTCAGTGAAACTGTTAATCTGTGGGATTTCTTCCCAATTTGTTTTCCTGAATGCAAGATTTCAAAGGGGGAACGAACCTTTCTCATATACTAGATTATTATTATTCTTTCTGTCATTGAATCCCAGCAGCTTTCAGTTTGAATGCCATTTGGAATTGAGCTTTTAGTTAGTTTCATAGCTTGAGATACTATCTTCCTTGAGACTTGTTTCGTTACAAGACTGGGGCAAAGAATTGCTTTGTGTTACTAAACATGTTGTCATAAATATTGCATCTTGTAATATTTTCTGCAAGTTCTTGAAATGTTTGGTTGTCGTGGAAAATATTTATAAACTTCAGTAATATGTCACCCCATCAGGAGAAAGGCTATTTAGAGCTTCTCATTCATCTTCTTTCCCCTTTATTCCATCTTTAGTTTCTCTCAGAGGTTGGAGGGAATATAAATAGGGTACAATAGGTCCTGCAGGTTCTCAGCCCTCTAAAACGCTTGGATGGATTAGTTTAAGGGCTTACCTATATTAATAATGGCACTTGCTTTAATCTTTCTACATTTGAAACTTTTCCAGAAGTATACAACAAAGGAGAGTATTCACAGAATTAATATTGGATGTTCCAATTGCTGTGCCGTGGCTATTAGCCGGTGTGCAGTGAGGTAAAAGTGGTCTGTATTCACAGGTCATTGTGCAGGAAGAGTAACGGCCCCGAAAATGTCGGAGTGCATTATAATTAGAAAGATCACCTGCCAGTACACCTGTTGGGTGATGGCATAATGTAATATAATTTTATGTTAATTACTTCTCTGCTTTTCTCCTGCACCTGCTGCTTATAAAGTCAGAATTGTGCAAAGGTCTTAAGAAGTGACAATAGGAGCTGCATGCCGCTGTTCATCAGTGTACATCTTGTGTGCCTGAGTAGTTCTTGATTTCAGCATGGATAGCTGAGATTTCTGTCATTTATTTGTAAACGTGAGTTATGTATTCACTGTATATCCAAATTTCTGTGCTAATATGAACAGATCAGTGATGTTTCTTCATCTATTATTAAAATCTGAAAGATGGGAGAGTTAGCTATTAATTACCATCTATCAGAAATCCGAGTTTAACTAGAAAGTTAATTAGTTGATAGTAAGTTAGTTAATAAGTTAATCTCAATTACTTGTTCCTCACATTTCAACAGAGGAGTAGGGTATCAAATGCTGTCTGTATTCTCACAGGTGCTTGTCTGTTCCTTTAAATGGAAATATTGAATGTAAAAATGGATTTGAGTAGAGGAGCACCTGGACATGAGAAAAGGAGAGAGCTAATGTTAAGTGTGTGCTTTCAATTTTGACCTGCTCACAAATGTTGACATGTGCATGTGTGTACCTGTTTGAAGCAGAACTCCCTATCGCTGAGCACAGGCACTCACACGAGGTGGATTCAATCTCATTTGTAGCTTTTAGGAACTACTTAACTTTTTTTTTTTTAAGATTCTACCAGCCAACTGCAATCAAAATATGTTACCTTATGAACTCGGTGAGTGAGAAGTTCTGCTTTGTGAGCTTGCTTTCATGTGCTGTGTATTTCCTAATACATTTGATAGAAGGGAAGAGCTAAAGAAAGGCTTGGTGGGAGCTGCTGTTGCCATGCTTCAGAAACAGCTTGGAGTGACAGTCTCTGTACTGCAGCTTTGTGCCACCCCTGTGCAGGAGGGTAGGAGAAGCACTTTGCAGTAATGCTGCAGCTGCGTCTTTGCTGTTCTGATGCTGCCAAGTGTTGTTCACAGGTCTGAAGGAATAGCGTGGTTTGAACACAATGTTTGGGCAATTTAGTTGAAGTGAAATGTGGGACAGCAGCGTGCAGTCTTGTTTTGATGTAGTCAACTGAAGCTGAAGTTATTGTTATGATGAGAACCATACCGCTTTGGTATCCTTAGTTTGACATGCTTACATTCTTAGACCTGCTGTTGACAAAGGCATTGGGGGTTTCTAATAATCTCTGAAGCAATGCTTAAGGTTTAGTGCTAAGAGTCTTTTAAAAGTCTCTCTCTTGAAGGTAGAGTTTGTGAGCTTAAGCCCTAATGATTTGCCAGAGACTTTGTCAGCCATGTAGCTGCTAATTGAAGTAACTATAAACTCAGAATATCCTTCTGAGAAAGAGACCAGGGAACCATAGCTGCAGTTTGTATAGATCATTTGCATTTGTCCACATTGGTAAATGAGAATCAGGCACCATGCAGACGCATCAAAATCCATCTGGAACAGTGAGCTAGGTCAAGCCAGGCGTAATAGGTCTGGGTCAGTATGAGCCATGCTATGCCTGGTCTGAGCAGCTTGGGGCTAAACCTACAGAGTGAGGCTGAAGCTTGAAGGGCCAGTGCTGTGAGTTTAGACCCTGCTTGCCCTCCCCCAAAACAGCATCTCTCTTGTGTTAGAAGGGGAGACACCTTTGTTAGGGGGGTGGTTTTCCCATCACTGGCAGTTCGGGTGTGCTGACCCCTGTGATTTTCACAGATGCAAAGCTAATGAATGTTGTTGTAATCTGTTAATAGGTAACTCATTTTAGACCAAAAGCATTTTATTTGTAGCATGAAATAGTACAGAAAGGAAAAACGTATGTTGCAGACTGAGAATAGAGAAAGAAGGCAGCAGAAAAGGGAATATGACCACAAATAAAGGCACACCAAAGTTCCTTGAACAAAGTGCTCAGAAAATAACTGTGGGAAAGGATAAGAAATTTCTAGTAACAGATAAACCTGAAAGCACACCTGAAAGCAAAATTGCAGCCTTTTTAGCAGTCACTTGCCTTCTGCCTCTCCCCTCTTTTCCTCCCTGTGCCCACAGATCAGTGAAATGCATACACATTTTCCAAGGTACATGTTAAAGCACTTTATTACTTTATCCAGGTGGAGGCTCGGGTTGGCTTCGAAGCAACAGACCTGCAGAATTTTCATTTGTATAAAAAACCAAAGGTACTAAAAAATGGATTGCAATTAGCACTGATATTTTTACAGTTTTCTAAGGACAAGCAGAATACAGGAATACCTGAGAGTCTGGAAATGTGAAAGCGGTGGGCAATACTGGAGAACGTTTAATTTAGTAAAGGGCATTGCACATAGCTCCATGCAAGGACGATCGAGTGACAGAGTGAGAGCATTTGGAGAAAGAAACATTAAATTAAAAAGATGAGAAAATATCTCTTACCTGCTTTTATGAATTACAATATCTTGTATATATTCCTGTGTCTTAATGAAGACACTGAAATGGGCACGGAGTTAGGCAATAAGTCAGTGAATGTGTGCATAAATAACACAGTGTGCTTAGTCACCAAAGTCACCCAGCTAAATGGTGAGGGGATCTTAAGCAGTCTTCACGTGTTTATTATACTCCTACAGAAACAACTGCAGAACAAGTGTCACTGTACAGAGAGAGCAGCAGACCTGGCTCTAGGTGATTCGGAAAAATCCTTTCTGCTTCCTCCTGCAGAAAAGAAGGAAAAGAGGAAAAAAAAGAAAAGGAAGAACAGAGAATGAAGTGTTTCATCATTGCAGTGACTGAAATCACATAGCAGCCTTCATTCTGAGTCCTTGGAAGTGTGAAAGATGCTTAAGTATCTCTATCACTTCATAGGGATGGAGGAATGATTCCGCAGGGCTGAAATGCCTTACTCAAAGTCAGGAGTACTTCTGTAGTGGTCTTAGGAAAATAATACACTTTTTCACTCCTGTGTTTAGAAAAGGAGGTGTATATTGATGTAAGAAACCAGTTTCAATAATCAGCGTTAATTGTCCAAACAAGATAATTGCCACTGTTCTTAGAAAACTGAGACAGCTAATGGATTCCTGCTATAGGGTGTCCTTAATGTCGGGTTATTTGCAGACTGGCTGGACCAGTGACTGAGCAGGTATGGATATGCACTCTAAGATTGTAACACTGCTACAAATCTTGGCATCCTCTGTGTATATAACAAAACAGAGGCTAATTTTTCAGCTTTCCCTAAGTCCTGATTCATAGCTTCAGTGAACTCTGGATCCAGCTTCAATCTGAAAAGTCGCCTGTAATCGTATGAAATGACAAAATTGCAATTACAATGTGAATATTTTCTTGGAAGGACTAAATGAGTGGATTATGTACTAATCCCTTATTTAAAAACATCTAAATGAAATAGTCTCAAGGAAATAGAGGATTAACAAATAAGAAGTATAATGCACAGCAAGTGGTCTGGCTGAAGAAAGATGATATAATCTAAAATATCCTCAACTAAATCCACTGTAACAAATTTAGTGGGAAGACAATTACTTCAGATACATGTGAGCTTACAGTGGTCCATTTGGGTCAAGGCTAAAGTTCAGGAAGGATAGAGAAAGACTTTCAAGCTGCCTTTCTATTGTACTTCTCCAGTCCACGACAGAGGATTCCAGCTGTGAAAGGACCTAATCTTCTTAAGAGTAAAAAATCTAAATATTTGTGTAAAAACAAGTAAGCAAATGTAGCAATAATAGCATGCAGATACACTGAGGAGCTTCACTCTGTTGTTTGTAGATCTGTGTGAGTCATGGCACAGTCCTGTTCTCACCAAGATTAATTGAAAGAACTTCTGTTGATTTCAGTGTATGTAGAACAACTGTTCACCAATTAAGAAAATGTTTCTTATCTTCCCTCACATTCACGTTTCCCCGAAGTCGCAGAATATATTTGAGGATGGAACGATTTAAGGTGCAACTGTATTCAGAACCGATGACGTTTTGACATGAAAGTTGTATTCCATTTCCATGTTAACAAATTGCTTTTGAAAGCTCTAAATGACACTGACGGAGAGTCGGGACCCAAGTGAAGGATTCAGGTTTCTACATATCGTTTTTTGTCTAAAGCTTCCTCTGCTTTTTTCCAGGTCTGGAGTAGGTGTGACAGGTTCCAGGCAGACGTTGTTTTATGCAGAAGTAACAGACCAGATGAGAACGAGTGAAGGAGGTGGCCAACCTGAGGAAGGAGAGCTGATTGAAGTTGTAGAGATACCTTTAGAAGACTCCATGAAGTTTGCTTATGATGAGGCTTTTCCCAAGACGATGGGTGTCATCTTCAGCTTCACGTGGTTCCAAAATAACATAGCACCCAAGCTACCAAAAAAATAATATAAAAGCACCCTGATTTCAAGAGAACATCTCCTGCTGGGTCTGTGGGCACAGAAAACTGCAAGTCTGCCTGCCTTCATCAACTCACCTTGCTACAGTTTTCAAATCATTCTCACTGTAAATTTGGAATTAAAATCCGAAGTAAAATCTGAAGTAATCCATCACTAGCAAAAATCTGGTGAGCTGCACTGGGGCCAGTATTTGTCTCCGGGAGTCAGGTGTTAATTCTCAGTCAAAGCCTAAGGAGATGTGCCTGGTTCTCCTTTTTCATGGCATTGCTCTACCACTGTTTTGAAGAGATGCTCAGGGCCACAGTGCAGCTGCTATGCCAGCCTGTTGCTGTTGGCTGTACATTCTGGCAGCTGTGTATTCACTGGAGCTCTCAGAGCTGTTAGTCCTAATATTTTGGGGAAGGCAGCACAGCTTCGTAGTGACAGATATCCTAACTATGTTGAGTTCTGCACAGCTTTCAGGGAACAGCTTTCTCTGTGTAGCTCCTGTACCTGCTTGCGTTTCTGAACATGCAGACTTTTATTCCATAAGCAAACGTCTGTAAATCCTTTTGCTAACACATCATTCTGACAATAGACCAGCTGTAAGGCTGCGTACTTCTGTTTGCTCTCAGCAGAACGCTGAGCAGCAGTGGTGGGGTGAGTGATGGGGGGTTTCTAGGGGAACACATGCTTCTTTGTTTGTTTTATGGATGGTACTTGCTTAATTAGATCAAACTTTGTCCTCTAGAGCAGGACCTGAGAGGCCAAATTCTTCTCATTTGACTCCAAGGTGGCTAACACAAGTGATTTCTCTGTCGTCTCAGATTCCATATCACCAAAATGTGAAGAGTGGGAATTTCCCCTCCAGTAACGCTCCTTTGAAACCCCGCAGTCAGAAGTGCTTTAATGAGAGACTTTATCATCATTTGTGCAGTGTACACTGAAGGCCATGCAGCTTGCACAGACATACTGAGCAGCACAATTTGATTTAATAAAGTGGTCTAATTGAAATGTATATTATTCTGCCAGCATGATTTAGATGTGGACTGTTTGTCACGTGAAACTGTTAATAGCATGAATGAGAGAGAATCAAGTCAGGACATTTAATTACAGAGTTGTTTATGTTATTCACTGAGTTAGTGTTAATTAAGATGTCTGCATTATCTGTACTTGTAGGGCTGCGGAGGTATGAAGTATTTTTAGAAGACGAGTAGAGGGAATGTGCAAACTTTCACATAGCAGCTGGAATAAGTGCAGCAGGGAAGTGATTTGAAATAGCTGCAGATCTAAAGAGGTGCTTAATAAATTAATATAAATAAAAAGCCTTTAAAACTGGTGCTCGCCTCTTGTGCTGACAGGAGGAAAGCTCACTGAAAAGCGATTGGAGAGAGCTGTGGCAGCCTGTGGAGTTGGACACCTCTCATGAGAGTTCAGCACAGTTGCACTGAGTTGTGCCTGTGGACAGTCGAGGGCTGAATAGTCATGAAAAGTAAATCAATTTGGTCTGTCTGATATATTTACATTGGAAGATGTTTTAGGGCACGGTCTGCATTGTTGTGCATCGTTACAGCGCTCAGTATGTGTCCTATAGCTGCTGTGGCCTTCAAAACTGAATAAAATATGACTTATTAATAGTGCCTTGCCTGTCCAGGAGTGTCAGTGTTGGGAGAGGACTGAGGGCAGTGCCAGACTTCCCAGATCTCACCCACACTGCTGCTGCTGTGAGCAGGAGGCTGCTTAGTCCAGCCCTCCCCTGGACACGGTCCATTGGACAGAGTTTAAAGTACGTTCATCCTTTTCCTTCTTCCCTGTTAATTTTGGTGGTGATCTTTATGAGTAATCAGGACGGTTTGAAAATGCAGGAGAAAGGGTTTGGACTTTTTTCCAAATGGTGGATGATTCATATATACAAAAATACGACGAGAGCAATTCAGATCCCACTTTTTTTCATCAGGGCTCATTTCAGAGATCATAATTAGAGCAAATCTGATATACATCGGCCAAGCCCAGGCAGGAGAAAAGTGCTTCTAATGGAATCTTGAAATCATGTCTGCATTTCAGACCCATCCTTCGGACGTGCCACCACACATATGGCCACGGAGAGCCCGCGTTTGGAATAAAACAGAGTCCCCATTTGCTGGTAATGAATACTGACTCCGGCTTACAAAGACCTGATCTGATCTCAGCCCGCCTTCCCCGTGAGATCAGCGTCTCTTTTATTGAGCACAATCGATCAGACCACACTTTAATGACAAACCTTAGCGTCTCTGATCTTCCCGATGTGGCTTTGGGAGATGGAGATAATCGATCGATACCAAAATGATACAGCGAGCTTTGTTAGAAATCATACAATAGTGGCTACGAAGTCATCATCAGATTTACTACGAGATGGCAGGAACGACACGGCCAGTGCTTTGTGAGCACACGGATATTGTGTATTTTTGTTCTTCCTTGCCATATTTGTGTAGCACCTACCAGCACGATTCCCAGTGATGAATCCTGGGCCAGGTGCCGCGGCTGCAGGGCTGCTCCCCGCTGGCGGCCGCTCGCCTTTTTGCCCGCTGCCTCATTTCCATCCCTCCCCGCAGCGGACAAAGGCAGCGTGCCCCAACTCCCTGCAGGGCTGGGGCCAGCCCAAGGGCAACCGATATAATTGCTCCTCAAACGCGCGCGGACCGCGCAGGGCGGCCCACCGGCCGAATGGGATTTTTGCTAAATTAGGACAATTGCCGAGCAGGCTTCATCCCCTGGCCGTAGCTCTATAGATAGATGAAAGGCACGCCCAGTTGTGAAATCTGTTGAAATGGCACACCTGGTGCTGTCTGCAAGTCTATTCACAACCGTCAGCAGGTGCGACTTGGCCTTTGTGGCCATAAAAGTCTGTGTGTGCGGCTCCCGCTGTGCTGCCCGCTCCTTCGGTCCCCCTCTGCAGGCTCCGCAGATTAGCGCTTGTTTGAAGCCGCTCGGAGCCAGGGCCTGGAGCATGCAGCAGTTCTGGAGGAATCGGGATGAGGCTTTTGTGGTTCCCAAGAAGGGACGTGGGGTGGGATGGGCTCACCTCCACTACGGTGCCGAGTTCAGCCCGTCTCTGCGCTCAGCCTCTCCAAAGAGGATTTGCACGCAGGGATGCACAGCCCCCACTTACATTTGGTTTAAAGAAGGATGCAGCTGCCTGTTGTAGAGTTTGCAGCAGGTTTCCAGTGGTAGTTTTCCCTCGCGCTGGATTACTTGGGATTTTGCTTGATATAAACCAAAACGATGTTCATATAAATCCTTCCGCAGAAGTTACTCCTCAACTCCTGGAACTGTATAATTCTTGAGAGCCTGTCTCATTCTGTAATCAGGAACACATTTTTACAAGGGCTTTAACTGCTCTCCAGATAAATTACGAGGCAGCAGCAGCAGTCAGTCCATAGCTAAATGGCCCGAATTTGTAGTGCTCAGAACTCTGTGGCCTGCCTCAGACCTGGAAATACAGCCGTGCACTTATAAATCCTGCCTTGCATTGCTTTGCTGCTGGACAATGCAATATCCTGTGCTGGCCAATAAAACATTCAAAAGCAGTGGTGCTCTGAAAACCCTTTTGGACGCTGTGCTGTGAAGAAAATGGGCTGTCATGGGAGGTTGGCTTCTTCTCCCAGGTAACAGAGATAGCACAAGAGGTAACGGCCTTCAGCTGCTCCAGAGGAGGTTTGGGTTGCATATTAGTAAAAATTCCTTCTCGGAAAGAGCCGTAATGTATTGGCACAGGCTTGCCTAGGGAGGTGATAGGGTCACCATCACTGTAGATATTCAAGAACTGTGAAGGTGTGACACTGAGGGACGTGGTCGGTGGGCATGGTGGGGGTGTTGGATTAGATGATTTTGGGCTTTTCCAACCTTAATGATTTTATGATGCAGTGACAGCAAGGAACAGCTTTCCTCATGCCCTGACTCCACTACAAATGCCTGTGCTCCTCTTGTGTCTCCTGGGGTTGAGTGCTGGGTGGGGGTGTGAGGAGTAGAGCATTTAACAGTAACTTGATTAGATCATTTTACAAGAGAGGAACGTTGCTGTAATCATGATGGCGGCCACCTCCAAAGGGCTTTCGCTCATGCAGTAATCACAGACAAGGCACAACCAAGCACTCCAAAGTGCTAGAAACAATTTAAGAAATGTTCTTGGGACAAGCAGTGGGTGCTGTGCAAACACCTCCTGGGCTTTCTGAAAGCGGCCCTGGCTGCCCTGCCCTGCAGGAATGCACTTGCTCTGATAACCCACAGCTCCTTTCGTAACCTCTCTTCCTTCGGGCTCCCCAATCCCACCCTGCACTTTCGGGGTGTTTCTTTGGCAATGGGATCAGGAGAACCAAACACAAGGTATCTCAAACCCTCCTTTCCTATTCAGCATGCGAGTGAGGGACAGCACGGCACGCTGCCTCTAAGGAGTAGGGAGTGGCGAGATGGGCTTCCAGCCAGATGAAAGCAGTTAGAATCATTAAGGTTGGAAAAGACCACTAAGATCACCAGTCCAACCCCAGCTCACCTCACCGTGCCCACAGACCACATCTCTCAGTGCCGCATCTCCATAATTCTTTAACACCTCCAGGGATGGTGACTCCACCACCTCCCTGGGCAGCTGTGCCAATGCATCACCACTGTATCTGAGAAGAAAGTGAGTTTGGGGGAATGAGGGCTGAGGGAGGCCCTGCTGCTTTTGCCTGGCTTTGTGCCTTCGACTGCTCTGATCCCGGTGTCCCCACTGAGCACAGACAAAATAATGCTGATATAACCAAGGAGTAAGGGCTGATTCCAGGGGCTTTTCAGGCACTGGGCAGCATTAGCGTTTCTATTCGTCGGAGCAGTGACAGCTCCTCCAACAGAGGATTTAGCTCCTAGATGGACACTAATGGGCAGATTTTTTTTTTTTGCTGGCAAAAGCAATGTGTAAATACCCTGCAGTTACTAATATAGCTCAGCTTCCAGCCAGATTAATGGGAGGTGTCAGCAAGCACAAAAAGAAGCAAAAAAATGGAGGGGACAGTCCTGCTTCCTGCAGTCTCGTGGCTGATCCTAATGCCCCGTCCTTTTTCTACCAGTCAAAGCTGATTGGCAAAGCTTTTTAATTCAAGTCTTTAAGCAGGATGATCAGCCTTTACTTAGCCAGTGTTGATTTCCACTTGACCAGACTGCCTTGCAGCAAGGTATCGTCTTATGCCACAAACCTTCTTACAGGAGATAAAGAAACTGAGACCTCCTCAATCCTCCTCATTACCGCCCCGGCCCTAACGAAGGTGCCCATCCCACTGCCCTTGTGTTGTGGGCTGGAGTCCCAGCGCTGCTGCAGTGTGAAGCAAGCCTGGCTCCAGCAGCACACAGCCCATGGCACGGCTCCCTGCCTATTTTTAAGATAGAAAGAAACGGGGCTGATGCAAGCGGCTGCCCAGCACGGGGCTCCAGCCATCACCCACCGTATGGACAGCAGAGTGTTGGGACAGGGTGGCAGCTCCAGGATGGGCTTAAGGATGTTGTTGGAGATCCCGAGCCCACCGAGCAGGGATACGAGCACACCGCACAGCCCCGTCACGCTCAGCACTATTTATTATCATAGTCATAGAATATCCTGACTGGAAGGGACCCACGGGGATCATCGAGTCCAACTCCTGGCCTCCCTTCCCTTGGCCTGGGGGCACGCAGCAGCATCCACACTGAGTGGCAGTGATGTTTAAAAAAATGTAAATGCCACAAGATTGAATATTAGATGATTCCTCTAAGCCTGTCTGTACGTTAATATTCCTGTTACTGAACACTGAAAGACCACTGCACTAATGCCCCTTATAAAACCAGCCTGAGTTTTAGTGCTCAGAAAGCTGCTTATCTGCTCCTCTGGACTAAGGAGACTCAAATGCCTTTTAATTATTAAAAGGGCTGAATTATGTCTCGGTTTAAACCTGGAGCTCAGAGGACCCACAGACCTCTAAAGGAGGCAAAGTCCTTTCAAACCCAAGCTCAACTTCCCAGTAAGAGCACGTGTCT